TGAAATCGAGGAGTGTAGACATCAAGACCTGCAAAGAAACCAAGGATGTTAGCACTCTGACAAAAGCGGCTGATTTGGTGGAAGCCTTTATTCTCCGGTTTCAGGTGGAGGATGCACTTGCCCTCATTAGGTTGGATGACCTCTTCTTAGAGTCTTTTGAAATGACAGATGTGAAGCCCCTAAAGGGAGACCACCTGTCGAGGGCAATAGGAAGAATCACTGGCAAAGGAGGGAAAACCAAGTTCACCATAGAGAATGTGACACGGATGCGGAGAGCTTTAGCTGATGTGAAAGTTCACATCCTTGGATCTTTCCAAAACATCAAGATGGCAAGAACTGCCATTTGCAAACTCATCCTGGGAAATCCTCCATTAAAGGTTTGTGGCAATATTCGAGCTGTGGCTAGCAGAACAGCAGATGGATTTTGATTTTGAATCAGAGACTTTTGTCTTTGGACTCCAGAGAAGAAGACCTTACCCTTTACAAGTGGTCACAAGAAGCCATGAGAAGGATTTTTCAGTCACTCCAAGCCTCTGTCCCTTCTTCAGTTCTCAGCCAGAAGAATAAACAAAAAGGAAAAGGTTGACAGTATTCATTCAACGGCTTTGAATATAATGTAAGTATCAAACTTTAGTACCGTGATTATACTTAAACATTAGTTATAACTTATCTTTTTTTTCATTTTAAATTACATGCAGCAGATTTGCATAGTTTTTAAGTCTCTCATTTGGAGGGAAAATTCTTATTTTTCTATAAGAGTTTATAAGTTTTTAAACCTATAAATTTATGAACATTTCTTCTCTGAGTTGTAATTAAAGAATTATCTCAGAAAACCTCTCTGAATCATGACCCTTAACACTGGGTGGTGTGTCACTATTTTACAATCAGGTCATTCATAAGCAGCAGTTTGGCTCTACCGTGTGGACCAAAAAGGCTAATATTTGTACCTATTTTGCCACTTGTAAAACTGAAATTGAAGACCTGTATCACAAGGTTGACAGGAGGAAAGAATGTTATTTTTATATAAGTATATATGCTGGGTTTCTTTCTTCTAAGCAGTAAAGTATGATAACAGAATGTTCTTAATGCTAAGAAAATGTTCTTCAAATGTAATAGAGTGTTTTAACTAGTGCCTGCCTATTTAAATATTATCTGATTCAGTTTATTCATTTTTGAAATGTAAGCACTCACTTCATTAATTAAAAAAAGAAGAAGAAGAAGAAAGGAACAAAGGGTGTCAGGGCTTAGAGTCAAGCTTTGCAGTTTGAGTCACAGTTAGTTGTGTGACCTTGGGCAATATTTTAAACCTCTCCGAGCCTCAGTTCCCTCGTTTCTAAAGTATATTAAAAAAGAAAAAAGGAACGGTTCTTACCTCATATGGCGATTGTGAGGATGAGATGAAATATGTCAAATACTTAGTAATACTTGTGATATAGTGTAAGCACTGAAAAAATAATAATAGACGTTGTTAACAGTATGGAGCCTAGAAAAGGAGGTCAAGAAACTCTCATTGTCTTGCCCATATGTCTATGGGTTACATAGAGTGAAAAAAAACACACAGATCAAAAGCCGCAAGTATTTCATTCCCCACTGTCAGGGTTTTTTCCCTTTGAATGTTAATATGCGGTCACTGTGTAGGGTCTTCCGAGAAAGAAGAAACTGTTGCTTCTTGACACCCATTTCATGAACCCAAGAACCCAAGAACCCAATCGTGGTTTCCTCAGAGTACATATAAAACAGAGTGTCTGGGTCTATCCAGCAAACACTTGGACATTGCTGATCCAACCATTCTACCACCCCTAGTAGACCCTCAGGTACCAGTAAACAACATCTCAGTCTTTGTTCTCTCCTTCTAAAAATGTGTTCATTTGTTCACTTCGGCAATGCTTATTGATCATCCTCCTTAAATGCAGTTTGTAAGATTTTACAGGATAGTTGTGTGTTTTGAATCTTGAATCCCACTGAGTAGCAACACCCCATTTCTCCCTCCCTTAGTAACCACCATTCTACTCTGATCCTAAAGGGTTTGACTGTTTTAGATTCCTCGTGTAAATGGAAAGATGTAGTATTTGTCCTTCTGTGACTGGCCTATTCCACTTAGCATTATGTCTTCAAGGTTCATCCATGTTGTTGCATATTGCGGAATTTCCTTGTCTTTTTTTTTTTAATGCTGAATACTATTCCATTGAATGTATATACCACATTTTCTTTATCCATTCATCTGCTGACAGACATTTGGATAGTTTCCACAGCTTGCCTCATGAGAATAATGCTGCCGTGAACATTGAGGTGAACATTAATATCTCCTGGAGATGCTGATTTTGATTCTTGTGGATAACAAGCCAGAGGGGGCATTCCTGTATTGTAGGGTAATGACTAATCTTTGATTTTTTAAAGTTTCTCTTTCTTTCTATTTCCCAGTTTTATTGAGAAATAATTGACACACGTCACTCTCTAAGCTCAAGGTGTACAGCATGATGATTTGATTTATATATATTGTGAAATGATGACCACAATAAGTTCAGCTAACATCTGTCATCTCATAGAGACACAATAAAAAGAAAGAACATACGGAAAAGAAAAAAAAATGTTTCCTTGTGATGAGGACTCAGAGGATACACTCTCTTAACAACTTTCCTGTATGTTGATATCATACAGCAGTGATAACTAAAGACATCACGTTGTACATTGCTTCCCTAGTACTTATTAATCTTACAACTGGAAGTTTGTACCTTTTGACCAGCTTCCTCCAACGTATTTGTTTGTTACTGAACTTACCATCTTGGTGTAGAATTTTTCTGCTTAACTTTTAGTCTTGTCTGACTAACCTGTGATCTTTCCCGAGCACTGGGACTCTGCCATCCCCAGTACCTAAAGCGTTATCTGGAACATAATAGGCCCCCAAAGGTTATTAAAGGAGCGAATTGCTGTGGGTGGGAGACAGTCTAGAAGAGAGTGAATAGGATGACAGGAGTGAAACTTCTATGATTTTAAACGGGTGACCATGGATCTATCGGCTAAGAAGGTCCTCATTCCCTTTTCACGGCCTGCTCCCCTAGTCTCCTGACTCCAGGTGCTCAGGACACAGATCTGGCTGTCACATTCCCCATATCCAGTCAGTCATTGGAGCCTGTGGATGGATTCTGCCTCCACATTCCCTTCAAATAATCCTTCCCTTCTGTTCCATCTGCACACCACTGCCCTTACCTCAACCCACTTTCTCTCTCATCTGCAGCAGCCTCCTCACTGGTCTTCCCGTCTCCCATCTTGTCTTCCCTAATCCCCATCCAGGAGCCAGAGTCAGCTTTCTAAAACGCACATCTCACCAGTACTTCTCAACTAGAGTGGTGGTTTCCCATTGACTGTGGGGTGAGGTTCCAACTCCATCAAGTGGATTACTAGACCCTCCATTCATTACCTGGCCCCTGCCTAACACTCTAGCTTTCCCTCCAGCCACTCCGTGCCCCTCTCCTCAGACCTCTGTATGAGATATCCCTTCGCCTGGGATCCTGTTCATAACACAATTGCTTGATTCCATGTACAGGCTGGTAAAAACATTCTCTTACCATCTCAATTTTGGCTAAGACCCAAGGGCCGAGGACAAAGTATCAAGTGTTTCCTTGAACCTTACCTCATACCATTTGTAAAAGAAATCAACTCCAGGTGAAATGTGATCTGAATGCGTAAGGTAAAATAATACAACTTTAAAATGAGAATGTAGAAAGTATGTTCATGATCTTGGGGTAGACAAAAAATTTCTTCACCAGGATTCAAACAGCACTACTAGTAGAGGGGAAGGAAACGATAAGTTGAGCTATGTAACACCTGGGAAATTCTCTTCATCGGGGACACCAATAAGTGAGCGAAACCACAAGCCAAGGAGTGGGAAAAGATGTTTGTCGTACATTTTGGTGGTTTTTAGAGAAGGTGAGTAGCTACAAACTGATGACACAACCATTCTTCTCCTACAAATGGAACCGTTAGTCTCTACGGTCATAGGACATGCATCTTCAAGAACATGTACATAAACTTCAAAGCAAAACTAGGATGAACCACATTTATTAGCAACTTTGCATTATAACCAAAACTTGACAGGAAAAAAATATCTACAATGTCCAACTCCTGGGGCACAAAGGAAATAAAATAAAAACTGCAATAACAAACAATGGCAAAATAACAAGTAAGAACATTGCGTAAGTTTTGTGGGATGTGACCAAGGCTACACTTAAAGTTTGTGGCCTTCAAGGCTTTCATCATTTCAAAGAACAAAAAGAAAATATAGTACTCCCTGGAAGTTCACTTCAGGTAGGGTCACCACGTTTAAATAATCCACTCATTCTTCCTAGTACCTGCGTGGCAGGTACTGTTCTCTGCCCCTCGCAGTATACTTTATGAGTTGGGCATTTCCCCTTGTCCCTGTCTTTTGGAAGTGCTCCACATTTCAAAACTGGGCTGCGTTCAAGGCTCAAATGATGTATAAACACGCCCTTGGTGCACAGGAGATTCTGACATGTGGCGTAAGAGGGAGTCAAGGGAACTGCTCGTTGGCACTGTCAGGGAATCATCTGCATGTTGCTCCAACTACTAGTCAGGGACAATCAAACAGGAACAGCATTTCCACAGGACCAAAATATTGCATAGCGATACAGGTCAACTGGGTACATCCCCGTCTATTGGATTACGGACCCTAGACCTGAAAGGAATGCCGACATTATATGTTCCTTACTAACACCTGTGCTGTCGTTGGCCTGGGACAAAGACATTTTCATGGTAAGGATTAAACAAGACTTGCCTACGCAGAAAGAATGATGTCTGGGACAGAGGCAATAGTCAGTGAATACTCTAGAATTTATTTGCCTTGGAAGATGGATTTTTAAGCACAGCAAACACCACAAAGCTGTTCTTAAGAATAAGCTCAAACAAAACTGTTCTTCCAAGACAACCTAATGCAGGTTAAAGCTTTGACAGATCTGTGTAAATTGGTGTAGAGACTGTTTTCCTCAACAAATGCTCAAAGGATTTTCTCTGAAGTGAGCAGCTTGGTGCATATTAAAGCATGCTTTCTTTATGAAGCTTGTAAAACAATGAGTGCACTTCTATGGCTTCTCCCCTGAATGGGTTCTTAAATGAAAAACAAGGCTTGATTTATGTCTATAGCTTTTCCCACAATACTCACACATGAATGGTCTCTCTTCAGTGTGTGCCATGTGGTGCACACTAAGGTCTCTTTGTCGACTAAATGTTTTTCCACAACTATGACATTTATAAGGTCTTCCATTTGTGTGGATTTTTAGATGGTTTGCAAAACCTTTTCTATTGCAAAAACGCTCCCTACACTCAGGGCAAGTGTATACTTCTTGACCAGAAAAGGTTTTCTGGTGTTCTGTGAGGTGTGACAGCTGACTGAATTGCTTCTCACATGCATTGCATTTATAGGGTGTCTCCCTTGTGTGAACTCGAAGATGCCTTTGTAAGTTGGACTTACGAAGGAATCTTTTCCCACACTCAAGGCACTCATGAGGAAGATCTCCCGAATGAATTTTCAGGTGCCCATTAAGTACCTTATTGGAAATAAATTCTTTCCCACAGTGAGTACATTGGTGTGGGTTCTCTTGGGCACGGTTTTGCTCATGGGCCCCGGGGCTGAGAGGTTCTTCCTGGTTGTATCTCTCAGCTCTTTCTTCTGGAAAGGGGTTCCGATCACAGACAGGCAATGGGTGCTCTCTGGATAGCTGCTCGGCGGGATTTCCCAGCTGATCTTTCGGCTGTTCCGAGTCTTCTGGTAAACTGGGATCAAGAAGTGCATTTCCATCTGAAGAAACAGAAAGTGGATACATACTCTCCAGTTAGTTTGTTGTTGTTTTTTTCCTGCTTTGATCTGCTTTGACACATTTTCTCTCCCAACATCAAAATCAAGAGTGCGAATAGAAATTGCAGATGTCACCATGTTCCAAAGGGAATGGAGAGGTAGGGACTGAGAAGAGTTATACTCAACAGCTAGTGGGAAGATAAGAACTTCCAAGTGACATCCGACACCTCTTTACTCTGGGAGTAAGCGCAAAAATTTCTTCAGTTTCTTCCCGAGCATCACATGAACCCTCACCTACCTGTCTTGAAGTCGAGCCATTGCAATTGTTGTTCCGTTTCCATGCAGTCCTGTAGTTCCTTCATCCAGGGCTCTATGGGGTCAGGCTTTGGTGGTGGATATGCTGGCCGTAGGAGAGATGGGAGGAAGGGCAGTTTGAGTCAACACAGGTTCATGCAGTGTGAAGGTCTCTTTCTGGGACATGTGGCCTCTCAATATCTGCCTGCTACCTCGTCCGCGCTGCTTTACCAGGAGCCTCTGACAAGTCATTTTTGTTGTGTTTTTTCAGTTTTCAAGATGAGGACAAAACTCAAATTGGGGGTGAGGGAGATCCTATTGTGTTCAACTCAAACCTACTCTCCTCCAGTCTATGGAAGGGAGGTGAATCAATTCTGGTGTCACGTCAATACACTGAATGTGTTCCACTCTTGTTTTGAGAATGGAACTGTAGGTGAGGGCCAGAACATGAAGTCAGATTTCCTAAAGTGCTGGCGTATTAAAACTGAGAGACACTGTCTAACTGACTGCCAAGTGAAGAAAGAGAGAGGCCAAAGTAGGGGTTAGGAAACTGGTTACTGGAAGAATTTTAGTAAGAGACACTCAAATTATAATGGCAACGGAAGTAGGTAACCAACAGGCAAAAATAAATAAATAAGTAAGTAACTTGTATATGTTTGTTTCAGCTGAAGTCTAGAAGTAGATTCTCTTGAAACTAACCCAAATAATCACCAAACAGTGTTTCTCACTGTCAATTTAAAAAAAAAAAAAAACAGAAGTGCCCCTGTATCCTACCACCCCTCTCCTCAGGGAGAGCTGCTGTGGCTCCACCCTCTTTGCACACTCCTACCTTACCTCTGGCCAAGTTTGCTGGTCTGCAGTAAAGTGTGCGTTGGAAAATGGCTCATTTCAGATGGAAATACAGGGCAATGTTTAAATATTGGAATTAGTAAAATGACATTAGCAGGTTAGTGCGGCTAATGTTGATATGAAGGAAAATTTAACTTTCAGGATATTCTATCAAAGCGCAGGAAGTCGACTAAAATACCTTATTTCCTGTTTTCACTTAAAAAAAGGCCAGATATTTCAAATGAAGAGACCTTAAATACAACTGTTCATTTTGGTTATGCCTACATTTCAAAATTAAAGTTAGGATGAGAGGGTATGAGTCCCAGGTCAAATAAAACTGCATGTCATGGATCAAAGGAAAGCCGCCATCGAGTGGAAGTGCGGGCTATCGCAGAGGTGGTGGGTGGACAGCGGCACAGCCTCAGGGTGGCAGAAACCTGGAGGCCCAGAATCCCCCCATTAGAGAGACGTGAAAATAAGTTCATAATGAAAGGATGTGTTCCTGTGGAGGCTCCCAGCCCATACATAGAGCATGGACTTGATATTCTTCAGGCTCTAGACTTCATCACAGGTCACCATTAAACCAACCCAGACACCTGTCCCTTGGGTGAAAGGGAGCTAAAGATGTGACTAGTCAAGGACTGAAACCGCCCTGTGGACAGGATCTAGCAGCCAGTCATGAGAACAAGGCCAGGAGTATCACCACCGGGCAGCTGGGTCTCATGGACTTACCATCAGTCCAGCTGCCCCTTTCTGTGCAGCACCAACCAAAGAAGACTGAGGACTGTCACCTTGCTTACTCGCCCCAGCATAGTATTCCCTGGTGCCAGCTTTCAAAGAGGCTGGCCCAAACTTGAGCTCCTTGCTGGATATTCACCTCATGCACTTCTTAACTGTCTACCAACCCCACCCCACCCACCTCCCTCCTGTGTAACATTCAGATCCTTGTGGCTCAGGTGCACTCAGCCTCCACTTTCTGGATGCTCAAAGCCTTGCTCCTGCCACTATCACTAGTCTGCACTCCTCAACCTATGCTCATGGCCCATGTCAGCTAAGGACACTCCCCCTTTGACCCATCTGCCACCCTTCTGACCTCAGTTCCCATCCTCTGCTCATGCAGTCAGTAAAATACTACCACAAATGATGAATGAACTGGACACCGACTTAAAAGATTTTCACAGACATCAGCCTTCCTTCTGTCTGCCAACATGGGGAAAACAGCCATGGCACTCATCACAAGGCAAGCCCGTGAGTGAAAGTGAGCAGACACAGGCACTCATATGCTGTAATGGGAGGATAAATTGGTACAGTGATTTTGGAGGGCATTCGACCATATCTGTTAAAGTTTTAAATGTATATGCCCGCTAACCAATCGTTCTTAACCTAGAAATTTGTCCTGCGGACACATGCCCATGGAAGGATGCTTACCGTGCATCCTTTATAGCTTGGCCCCAGGGTAGTTTGGTCAACATTGAATGCCAGTCAGAAGTCATGCCTCTAAGCCTACTTCTGTTGGAAGCACTCTTCTCTTTGCCCTCACAACCACCTGGGAGGCTGTGCTGGAAGTGATCCTAAGGGTGTAAATGAGCCCTCTTTGTACTGGGCCCTGGGTTGTTCTGCTCTTCACTCCCGGCTAGGACTCCTTACTCAAAAGCCTGCAAATGCCAAACTCAAATTCTCTCACATCCATTTTTTTAAATTAGCCCCAGAATCAGATTATTAGCCATTTAGAGCCACCCTCCTTTGCATAGCCCAGAAAAATACCACCCCACAGCTGTTAGCCATTGAAAAGACAGAGCCTTGTGGTTATATGATCCCAAGCTGCCACTGCCCTTGGAATTCTCGGACCTATAGACTGCCAGTGTGCTACTGGGCTATGACATCACCTAGGCAGGTAAGCCCCCCCTCTGAGCCCTTACTCCCTGGAGAGTTTCCTTGTGCCCCTCTCCTTCTGACCCCTGACTTTCCCAACAAGCACACCTGACAAAGACTTGCCCCACAAAGCTTGTGTGTGCTACTGCTCCCTCCTGGTCATATCTTGTTCCCAGATCAGCCCGCAGATCCCTTCGACCCTCCACAAGTGGTAAGGAGGGAGAGACTTTGGTGACCAGGAGGTAGACATGAAGACCTCCCAGTGGGCAGGATAAAGGGTGTTATACCACTTTAAACAGGGATGAGAAAGGGGTAATTTCCTTTCCTCCTAATTGTTATATTTTACCTGTTACATCATTCTGTCTCTCCCTTGTTAAATATACTGGACTTTCCTGTGCTTTAGAGACTAAAGTATTCAAATCAAGAGCAATAGTGCTGCTCAGCATCATGTGTGATCTTTGTACCCGGCACTGTTGGTAAGAGGAACAAATTCACACATGTAATGGGAACTCATATGCAGAAAGATTTATAACTCAACACGACTGGCTGGGTTCTGCCACGTGTTGCAGGCATACACATAGAAATACAGATTTTTTTAAAAAACTTGTTAACAGAGCAGGGATATAGGTGAGGTAGGGACTGGAATATAAATGTCAATATTTTACATAGTTTGGCTCTGACCTTAATGGATATACATATGCCCTTTTGAGTTTTTCCTCCTGGTCACCTCTGTTAAAAACAAACAAACAAACAAACAAACAAACAAACAAAAAACGAGGCAGGGTACATGTCTTCTACATGCCCAGAACTTGCTGGAGCAAGCTACAAAATTTGGTACCCGGAAAAATCGAATAAATGCAGAAAGGGAGACAAATTTGTGACCAAACAACCACACTGTGACGTTATGAGAGGAATTCCATGAGGGGGGCAGGGTAGTGTTGCACAGATAACACATGGTCCTACTGTTAGGCCTAGAATGGACCAAGCCATCCTTTCCAAGGAGAGGGTGAAGTCTCACATGTACCATTCCCCACTGTCTGCCAGATACCTGGAGAGGAGATGTGGCACTTGGAATGGAGACCATAGGAGAGAGTGGAAAACCATAAGTAAGCAAGCACCAGAGGTAGAATTTCTATTGGCTTCAAGAGCAAATGGGTCCTAGTGTCTAGGATATCCATTCTCACGCATTTAAGACATGGGAAGAAAGCAAGGAACCCAGGAAAGGTACCTGAATATTTAACAGATTTTTGAATTCAAATACAATATAATGGTCTTTTTTAACGTGATATCTCTCAGGATCTGCCCAGAGAACCTTGTGCTTTCTCCCTCTACACAATCCTGGAAAGTCCTCGACCACCCTCGAGACTTCCATGAACTTCTACAAGTCTTTCTTCCCCTGGACTTTCTCCCCCTAGACTAACTCCTGCATTGTCTGGAGCAGTGGTTCTCAAGCAGTAGTATGCGCAGCATTTACCTGGAGTGCTTGTTAAAAATGCACCACAGGCGATCCTGCTACAGAGAATCTTCTTAGTATGCTTGGAGAAACACTGGTCTAGGATTTCATGGATAAGATACATGTTTGTTGTACTGTGGCAAGCGATTACATCGTCTTAAAGGATCTGAAGTGAGTACGGTATGTTGATAAAGTCGCATGTGTGAATGTCGCTCTTATGCCATAGGAGCAACTGAGGCCCTTGGGACCCACAACAACACAAATTCCTTTGATAAAAAAAATATACTGGGGAGATTAATCTTGATTCATAACACTCAAACTCCCTTCAATTTCCGGTATAACATTCTTGGCTAAAGCCTCCTTCCTGAGCAGGTCCCTCAGCCTCAGCTTAAGGGATTCTGAACCCTGTTCGAGCTGATGTGCTCTGTGGCCCGCTGCTCCCCAAGAGACATTTCCTCCTCCTCCTCTTTATCGGACTGATCCATTTTCATCTGATATCCAGTGTTCCTAGCCAACTCCAACCCTGGAGAGCCCCTGAGCTCTCAAAACAGAAATCAAGGAAAAGGAGCAAAACCCTTGCCTTACCAGGGTCCAGAAAGAGCTGGCCTTCCCCAGCAGTGCCATAGCTCAGCTCCTGCAGGCCTGCCTGTGGGATCCACGCCTCTGCCACTGGGGCCGTGGAGACAGGTCGTACTGCTTGGAGTGGGAGTGCCTCCAGGTGGATGTCTGGTAGTATGTCTGCCATTCTGACTGCTGCCAAGTCTTCCGAGAGCATTTCATGCTTGTCAATCTGGGGAAAATGCCAGAACCCATCACTCTAAAGCCCAGACCAGCAGTGCCCAGTAGCAATATAATGCAAGCCACGCAAGTCATCTTAAAATTTCAAAATGTAACCAGGATAAAGAATTATTAATATGATATTTTACCTGCCTTGTTGTTCAGCCTAAGTCTTCTGAATGTGGTGTGCGTTTCATACTTACAGCATATCCCAGTTTGGTATAGCCACATTTCTAGTGCTCAAGAGCCACCCTTGGCTGGTGCCTACCATACGGGCAATGCAGGATTAGACCACATGAAGACAACATCTCATGTAGTAAGCCAAACAAGGAGACGCAGAAAGGAAGGGAAATCACAAACGCATCCCATCCTGGAGGCAACAAACTCTGGAAGAGTCCTGTTCATGCAGGCTAATTGCAGAGCCCCATCAGCACACAAGACTCCAGTGCCCCTAATGCCCAACCAGAACTACTTTCTCCCTTCTCTAAAGATGCTGCCTTGTGCTCAGCTATCGCACACCCCAAACAGGTTTTACCCGGTGCTTCTGAACAGAGGGCAGGGCCACCACCCCGAGAAGGTGTTTTGGATGTGATGGCAGGTGCTGGCTACCAGAATTTAGAGGGCAGAGATGGGAGTATAGATAATGAACAGTGCAGAATTGCTCCAGGTCCCTACCAAATTTGGAGTGTCCCCCTCAAGTGTTCATGTAGGTAATAAGAACCTGTCAAGAACCTCACCTTGTTGGTCATATAATCACAACACATTTTTGCAAATTTTAGCTTGGCTTGACTTTTCTAGGGAAGCACTACTTTGGAAATCAAACTCATGGTGATGTAAAGTACAGCACGGGAAATATAGTCATTAATATTGTAATAACTATGTATGGTGCCAAGTGAGTACTGGAAATATCAGGAGGAACACTTTGTAAAGTACAATATATGACCGTCTAAGCTCTATGATGTACACCTGAAACTAATACAAAACAATACTGAGTGTAAACTGTAACTAAATTTTTATTTAAAAAAATGAAATGTTATACTGCTAATTGTTCAGATTCACCAAGAATTGTTTGCCACTTCGGAAAATCACATGACCAGCAGCAACACTGCTATTAGTGTTTGAGCTGTATCAGTCCGAAACACTGCCTGTTGCCTTCACAGTGAGTCTGTGCAGAGAGGCAAGCAACTGACAACTTCATAGATCTTGTGGTGCCCTCAAACCCAGACATGCGTGCGCTGAAACGCTTTGTACTTTTTAATAAACCATGTTCCTTTTCCTTTAAATTCCTTCAAGACTCTACTTGACTCAAAAGTTGGACAACTTTCTTTGTAAAGAGCCAGACAGTAAATATTTTATGCTTTGTGTGCCACATTCAGACTGTGACTTATCCTCCTTCTTCCCCTTCTCTATTTAACAGTGCTTTAACACTTCAAAACCATTATTAGCTCACAGGGTATACAAAACAGGTTGTGGCCAGATCTGGTCTGCAGACACTAGAGCATAATATTGGTGTTTTTGAGGAATAATTGTAGGTAGGCTATGTTAACTATGCAGGTCATTTAAGTACACTTACTTAATGGACTTTGGAGAATATTTGTTACAGAAGCAGGGGATGAGTATGATGAGGTTGAAAACCACTGACCTATAGGTTTTCTCTGGCAGAAGAGAGACATGAAAAAGGTTGTGGAGAAATCCTGGGGCTGAAGAATGACGCAGAGACAAATGTCCCATCCAATCCCACCTGCCTCTGATACCTGTTTGGTAAATTACCCAGGTCCCAAACTCTTTTCTCACCTGCGGCTCTGGTATCTCAAGTCCGGTCTCTAATTCTTCTAATAGTGACACGACACTTTCTGTAGTCTCTGGGCATTGTTCTGTAACCCACGTCTCTAGTTCGCAAGGCAGGATTGTCAGGAATTGCTCCAACACTAGAAGCTCCACCATTTGTTCCTTAGAACGCATCTTTGGCTTCAGCCATTGACCGCAAAGCTCCCGGAGTTTGTTGAAAACTTCACGAGGCCCTGCTGCTTCTTTGTACTGGAACTGCCTGAAACGCTGACGGAAGACTTCAGAGTCATTATCATACTCTTGAAACACCGAGCCCAGATTCAAGGAGGCCTGGACAGCACGACTGAAGGCAGTAGACATTGCCCTCTTCCAGCAGTGTCCAATTTATCTGGCACCTGAAGTCTCAGATTCAAATTTCTTTCTTTGTGTATTTCTTTGGATGAGACACCTACAGCTGAGGGCAGGGAGAATGAGAAAGGAGAAGCAGCAGTGGTTACCAGAGGGCATCCTTACTTCCTTTAATTGCTTGCTTTTCAGCAAAGCCCCGAAGTAGCAGACTGTAATCTTTTAGATAATTTTTAGGAACTGAGGAAAATGTTAAAAAGGACTTCTTTAAGAAGAAGAAAGAAAGAAAGAGAGGATCATAGTTATAAAGACTAAAATAGCAATAAATGCGTACCTATCAATAATCACTTCAAATGTAAATGGCTTAAATGCTCCAATCAATAGACATAGTGTAGTTGAATTGATGAGAAAACAAGACCCATATGTATGCTGTCTACAGGAGACCCACCTCAGAAGGAAAGAGACACACAGACTGAAAGTAAAGGGACAGAAAAATATTTCATGCAAATAAAAAAAAAAAAAACTGGGGAAGCAATACTTACATCTGACGATATAGAGTGTACAACAAACACTGTAATAAGAAACAAAGAAGGACACTAAATAATACTAAAGGGATCAATCCAACAACAGGACATAACCCTTGTAAACATTTACACACGCGACATTGAAGCACCTAAATATATAAAGCAAATCTTGACTGACATAAATGGAGAGATCGACAGTAATTACTGTCATAGTAGAGGATTTTAACAGCCCATTGACACCAATGGATACGTCTTCCAGACAGAAAGTCAACAAGGAAACAGCGGCCTTACACGACACACCAGACCACATGGATTCAACTAATATTATCAGGGCATTTTACCCCAAAGCAGTAGATTATACGTCCTTTTCAAGTGCACATGGAAGATTTCCTAGGATATAACACGTGTTAGGAAACACAAGTCTCAATAAATTAAAGAAGGTGAAAAGAATATCAAGCATCTTCTCTGACCGCAATGCTTATGAAACTAGAAATCAATTAAAAGAAAAGAAAACCTAAAAACACTCAAACACATGGAGGCTCAATAACATGTTACTGAACAATGAATGGTTTAACAATGTGATTGGGAAGAAATCAAAAGATACCTTGAGACAAATGCAAATGGCAACACAACAACCCCAAATCTGTAAGACACAGCGAAAGCAGGCCTAAAACAGAAAATTGGAGCTTTATAGGCCTACCTCAAGAAACAAGAAAAATCTAAAACAATCTAATCTTACACCTAGAGAAACTAGAAATAGAACAACAACCAAAGCCCAACGTGAGTAGAAGAAAGAAAATAATAAAGATCAAAGCAGAAATAATGAAATAGAGTCTAAAAAAACAATACATGAGATCAATGAAACCAAGAGCTGGGTCTATGAAAAGATAAATGAGATTGGTAAACCTTTAACCAGACTCATCAAGAAACAAAGAGAGAAGACCCATATAAGTAAAATCAGAAATGGAAGAGAAGTAAAAACTGAAATGACAGAAATACAAAGAATTATAGAGGGGGGGTGGGCGGGGAAAAAGGGAGGGAAGGGGCAAGTCAAGGAACATATAGCAAGGACTCATGGACAAAACCAAAGTGGGGAAGGATTGGGGGGAGGGGGCAGGGGAAAGCGGTGGGGGGAAGACAGAGACAAATGTATTTGGAAAAATAAATTAATTAATTTTTAAAAATTTCAATAAAAAAGAAAATATTATAAACAACTATATGCCAACAAATTGGACAATCTGGAAGAAATGGATAATTTCCTAGAAATATACAATCTTGCAAAACCCAATCAAGAAGAAACAAAATCTGAAGAGACCGATTGCAACTAATGTAATTGAAGCAGTAATCAAAAAACCTCCAATATACAAGAGTCCAGGACTGGATGGCTCCACAGGTGAATTTTACCAAACATTCAAAGAAGAACTAACACCTATCCTTCTCAAACTATTCCAAAAAATTCAAGAGGAAGAAAGCCTTCCAAGTCCATTTTATTAAGCCAGCATTATCCTAATTCCAAAACCAGATGAAGGGACTACACAGAGAGAAAATTATGGACCAATATCCCTGGTGAACAAAGGTGCAAAAATCCTCAGCAAAATATTAGCAAACCGAACCCAGCAACACATAAAACAGCTCATACACCACGATCAAGTAGGATTTATTCCTGGGGCGCAAGGCTGGTATGATATCCTCAAGTCCATTAACGTGATACACCACATAAAAACGAAGTGTAAAAACCATATGATCATATCAGTAGGTACAGAAGAGCATTTGTCAAAACCCAGCACCCACTAACAATAAAAACGCTCAGTAAAGTGGGAATAGAGGAGACATATCTCAAGATAATAATGACTGTATATGACAAACCCACAGCTAACATCATACTCAATGGGGAAAAACTAAAAGCATTTCCCTTAAGATCAGGAACAAGACAGCGATGTCCACTTTCCCCACTCCTATTCAACATAGTACAGAAAGCCTTAGCCACAGCAATCAGACAAGAAGAAGAAATAAAAAGGCATCCAAATTGGACATGAAGAAGTGAAACTGTCATTATTTGCAGATGGCATGATACTGTATATAGAAGACCCTAAAAATTCAACCCCAAACTACGAGAGCTGATCAATGAATTCAATAAAGCAGCAGGATACAAAATAAATGTCCAGAAATGGGTTGCATTTTTATACACCAATAAATGAATTCTCAGAAAGTGAAACTAAGAAAACAATCCCATTTAACATTGCATCAAACAGCCCTGAGCCATGTGGCTCAGTTGGTTGGGCATCGCTGATTCGATGCCCTGTCAGAGCATGTGCCTGGGTTGTGGGCCCGGTCCCCAGTTAGGGGCGTGCAAGAGGGAGCCAATCCATGTTTCTCTCACACGTGGATATTTCTCTCCCTCTCCTTCTCCTTCCCTCCCCTGCTCTCTAAAAAACAAATAAATAAAATCTTTAAAATTGCATCAAACAACATAAAATACGTAGGAATAAATTTAAACAAACAGGCAAAAGACCTCGGAAAAGTACTCAGAAAATTATAAGACACTGAAGAAAGAAATTGAAGATATAAATAAATGGAAACATACCACGCTCATGGACACAGGGAACTGGCATTGTTAAAATGTCCATACTTCCCAAAGCATCTATAGATTCAGTGTGATTCCTATTGAAACACCAATGGCACATTTCACAGAACTACAACAAATAATCCAAAACTTTACGTGAAACCACAAGAGACCCCAAATAACCACAGCAATCTGGAGAAAGAAGAACAAAGTGAAGATATCACATAACCTCATATCAAACTATACTTCCCAGCTATACTGTTGAAATCAGCACAGTACTGGCATAAAAACAGACAGATCACTAGAGTAGAATGGAGAGCCCAGAAAGAAACCCACACCTATATGGTCAGTTAATGTTTGACAAAGGAGGCAAGAATATGCAATGAGGTAAAGACAGTCTATTCAATAATTGTGTTGGGAAAATTAGTCATATAGATACGTGCAAACAAAGATGAAACTAGACCACCTTCTTACATCATATACAAAAATAAACCCCAAACGGACTTAAATGTAAGACTCAAAGTCATAAACCCCTAAAAAAAATATAGACAGTAAAACCTCAGACATTTCTCTCAGCAATATTTTTTCTGATGTATTTCCTCAGGCAAGGGAAACCAAACAAAAGATTAACAAATGGGACTACATCAAACTAAAAAAGTTTTTACACAGCAAAGAAAACCGTCAACAAAACAAAAAGACAGCCCCAGCTGGTGTGGCTCAGTTGGCTGGAGCATTGTCCCATAGACCAAAAGGTCACAGGTTTGATTCCCAGTCAGGGCACATACACAGGTTGCAGGTTTGACCCCCTATGGGGGCGTGTACAGGAAGGCAACCAGTCGACATTTCTCTCTCACATCGACGTCTCTCTCTCTCTCCCCCTCCCCTTTCTCTCTCTCTAAAAAGCAATGAAAAAATGTCCTCAGGGGAGGCCAAAAATTAATAATAATAATAATAATAATAATAATAATAATAAAACAAAAAGACAAGCTACTGAATGGGGAAAGATATTCCCAAATGATATCTCCAATAAGGGGTTGGTATCCAAAATCTATAAAAAACTCATAGGACGCACACCAAAAAACTCCAAATGATACAATTAAAAAATGTACAGAGGTCCTGAATAGACACTACAGGTAGATGGTCAATAGACTTATATAAAGCTGCTCAATGTCACTAATCATCAGAGAAACACAAACTGAAATCTCAATAAGATATCACCTCACACATGTCAGAACGGCTATGATCAATAAATCAACAAACAAGTGTTGGCGAAGGTGTGGAGAAAAGAGGACCCTCGTGCACTGTTGGTGCAAATGGAGATTGGTGGAGACACTATAGAAAACAGTATGGTGGTTTCTCAAAAGTTGAATATGGTACTGCCTTGTGACCCAGCAATTCCACTTCTGGGTATATATCAGAAGAATCCCAAAACACTAATTTGAAAGACCATATGCACCCTTTGTTCATTGCAGCATTATTTCCAATAGCCAAGATATGGAAGCAACCCAAGTGCTCATCAATAGAAGAGTGGATAAAAAACTGGTGGTACATATAGACAACGGAATATTTCCCGGCCATTAAAAAAAAAAAGGAAGAAGAAGAATGACGCTTACCATTTGTAACAGCGTAGTTGGACCTAAAGGGTATTATGCTAAGTAAAATAAGTCAGAGGAAGACAAATACCATATGATTTCACTTATATGTGGAGTCTCAAGAACAATATAAATGAACAAAGAAAATACAAACAGACTCATAGATGCAGAGAACAGACGGATGTTTGCCAGATGGGAGGGGTGTTGTGGGGCTGGGTGAAAAAGATGAAGGGATTGAGAAGTACAGATTGGTAGTTAGAAAATAGTCATGGGGATGTAGAGTACAGCATAAGAAATATAGTCAATGCTCTTGCCGAGTGGATGAATTGGTTGGAG